TTCTGAAACTTTATTGGATCGAGTTGTAATCTTAAACCCGATGGTGCTCTGATACTTTTGATGCACTGTGAACTGATACTCTTGATGCGTTATTCTGCATGCTTGTTCCTCTTTAATATCATTGCACACATGCTGAATTTTATCAGGCACCATATTTCATCATGCATTTCAAATTCTTCATATTATATGTCAAATGCGTGTATGAATTACAAGATATAGGGGGAGATCTCCATGATTCAACTCTTCAAGTGTGCATTGCTTCAAAAGCAAATTCCTCACTATGCACATCTTCAGGGGGAGTTCTTCTATATCTTGCAATCAAATTCCTCAATATCAGTACTTACACTTCATAAGTTTATCCCCGTTGAAAACTTAACCTATATTGTCATCAATCATCAAAAAGGGGGAGATTGTAAGTGCATCTAGTGCCCCTTAGTGATTTTGATGTATTGAAGACTTATAGGTTAAGGGACTAATGTGTTTGTGAGTATACACAGGTCTATAAGTCTATGAAGAGTTTGATATTTACAGAGAAAGTCGACCCCTAAAAATGAATATCTTCGACTGAAGATTTTGGTATTCCTGAAGACTTTCATGAAGACTTTGAAAGTGAAGAAATTGGTGTATTCGTGAAGACTTGATATTCATGCAAGGAATATGAAGCTTGAAGACTTTCGTTTTCATAGTTTTGTTTTTCTCTTTCTTGAGTCATAGGAAACACCGTACTGTTAAAGGGGGTCGAGGAAATACTAAGGAAAAATTTCCATGTGATGCTCAACTCAAAATCCTACACCTACCAAACCCTTCGAGTGAAGCCTTTGGAAATCTCATATAGTTCAGTCAATTTCTTCAGTGACAGAGACGAAGTTCTTCTGGTCACTGAGGAATTTGTTCTGACTGAGGAGTTAGGAATTCACCAGTGCGGATTGCCTACACAGTGAGGAACATGATAGCCCTGAGGAATTTGAGAGTCAAATTTCCGACCGTTGTTGTGCTGCGCGCCAGCTATCCCAAAATATCTTATCCACCTAACGGTCATATCAGACAAGGGCATTTATGTCTTATCATGTCGGGCTGCTCCCTAGGCTATAAATAGCCACCCCCTACAACCACTAGCTGGTTGGCTGCTCCGAGAGAAACTGACACTTGTCATTTGAGAGCAACCCATCCTCCGAGGACTTTGAGCGAAAATCATCGAGTGAGGAAAAACCCAAACCCAAACACCTACAAACCCCAAAGTGATTGAGCATCACTGAAGAGATTGATCCTGCGTGGATCCGACGCCTGTTACCTTTGGAGAATGTGCTTCCTCCAGACGGTTAGGCGTCATGGTCTAGATCATCCAAGAGGAATTGTGGGTCGCCGAGTGACCGAGTCTGTGAAGGTTTGGAAGTCGCCTGAAGACTTACCACGAGTGATTGGACGAGGTCTATGTGACCTTAGTTCAAGGAGAATACGGTGAGGACTTGGTGTCCTGAGTTGCGTGCTCAGCGACTGGGTGTCCGGGACTGTGTGTCCTCGAGTTTAAATACTCAGCCGCTCCAACCAGACGTACAACTGAGACAGCAGTTGTAACTGGTCTACCAAATTATTGTCTTCACCAACCTTACTGGTTCTATTTCCTCAACTCTTTCATTTCCTCATTACTGTGTTGAGTGATTGTTCATATCTGTGTTTGAAGACTTTGACTGAAGACTTTCTCAATTTCTTCAGTTCAATTTCTTCAGTCTGTTTGTCTTCATCTTGTGTTATCCTGTGTATACGCTTTCTGTGCTCTGTGCTTGTCTTCATTTCATCATGATGACTATGTCTGTATCCTGTTATGCTTACTTCTGAGTACTTATTCCGCTGCTAGTAGTTCTTCGCTAAGGAATTTCCTCACCGGCAAATTCCTCAGTGAAGAATTCATAAAAATCGCCTATTCACCCCCCCTCTAGTCGATATAACGCACTTTCAATGCCCATTGAGCTTCAACCAGCAATGCATCAATGTGACTGGCTTTCCCTCATGCATGTGGTAAACCTCACATTCTGGCTAGACAATGATGTGATCAATGAGTTTCAACATTGAGAAAATTAATGAAATAACCAAGACATAGAGCAACAAGGAGCAAAAATTTCCACCTCTTCGAGTGACGTGTCCCTTTGCCACCTTATATGCAGTTGTGCATATGCACCACAACATGTTGATGGTCTTTTGTGGTGTGTCATCGATAGAGTAGCGACTTTGCATCACGAACATGGATCACTTCCATGTTGTAGGGGCGCGTAGTGCTTGTGCTCATGGAATCAAACATGCACACATTGCCAAAATGACGTGACATTTGCTTCATGCCTTGAAACTCCACATTTATGTCCAATCACACCTCACACAACAATTCATTGAGTACATTGTAATTGTGTTTTCTTCAAAGTAAACAACGAGAACATTAAATTTTATGACGATGGCATTGGGACGAATACTTGTCAAGCATGGTGTCCACCATATATGGTGTTTGCAGTGAGCGAAGGATACATGGGCTGCAATAGGATTCGGGGTGGAATTGTGGCGTAACCCAAGGAGGGTAGGAGCATGGGTGGGACGCCGGAGGTCCAACAAGACTTGGGCTATGGTGGGGGTAATAGCGCATCGGTCTCCGAGGGTGTGGATACAGAGCATAGCGAGAGGGAGAGAGGGAGTAAAAGGGCTTTTGGCGGGGCATTTTGATGGGCCGAGGGTGTTGGAGTTCGACGTGGTAGACATTCAGACGCCCCAATACTTCCCAGGTCCGGTTTCGATTTGGGTTGGATGACAAAAAACTTCCACAACATTTGATTCGAACATTTAGAGGCAATATTCATGATCCACGTCGGAGTTGCCCTACTCCCTATAATTGAACAGAGCCTCATGTCGATACGAGCATGGTGTAAGAGTATCTACAATCGGACGCCCCATATCCGCGCAAAGGCTCGTGCAGCCTGCCCGGACAGAAGCAAGCCACCCAACCGACTGCCCCAAACGCAGCCCATGTGTTCGAGCTGACATGCAAACCCAATACCCATCCCATACGTGGGCGGATATGGGATGGCCAGACACGTCCACGTCGGATCCGGCCTATTATGGCCCACCCGACCCCACATATATTCATCCTTATCTACACTATGGACCAAACCCTACCCACTCCACTCTTCCGTCCCCAAACTTTTGTCCTGCAAACTCCGGCCTGCTCGGGCATGGTGGGCAGGGAATCCGATGACGATATCTCCTAATCCGTTGTCTGAGAACTTGTCCCATGCGGGGGATGAGGAAGAGATGGCTGTGTGCATTGCTCTGCGCCGCTCACGAGAGGAGTGCCCCGACCGCGGCCAGACTCGACCCGGTGGGAATCCATTGTGTCTGCTCAAATGGCACTTGGATTCATTGGGGCTAGTGGCTTGTGGAGCGTGACTGCGGCCTCGCCGGAAGCGGTTACCACCGCCTCGCGGTGCAACCCCTTTGTTGGTGCATCATCCCTGCGCCATCGGGCTCCGAGTCGGAGGTCAATGTCGACATGCCTCACAAACTATCCACGTCTATCGTGAGGCATGCCCTCCGTGTGAGGCACAGGGCACGAAAGGCCGCGGAGGCGGAGTCGAACGCCGCCGCCGCCTGGTGCCGCAACCTTAGGGCGGCGGCGGCGGGGCTCCGACCATGAGGTTGGCCCGTCCATGTCTATCGTGGACCTCACCTCCACCGACGATGCCCAGGCCATAGGTTTCGACAAAAAAAAGTAGGGCATGCTAGATGGCGGTGCCTCGTGTCCAATGTGGGACAGTCCATGTCCCTTGTCCTACTATACCTCGCCAGCAACTGCATGGACACGGACCGTGTTGGGTGCCGGATTTAGCCGCGCCCGCGTACGCTGCACCCGTGTTGAAATCCACAGAAGTACTCGTACGCCGCACCCGCGCGCGCACCCACGGGACGCGCCCATGTGCCCTCCGCTCGCCGATCCGCCATCGGGTAGGTTCGCTGATGATTTCGCAGTTCCACCCACCCGCAGCACGTACAAGCCACCCCGGCCCCATGACGCCGATGGTCAGACGGTAGAAGAAGATGGATACATCCCGTGTGCCGCAGATCCTTTTCTTGAAAGAAAGAGAAAATCATTCTCTTCCCCTTCCACATCATCATCATCATAATCAGCGATGAAAGTTTTCAGTCCCGAGAGAGGAGAAACGTGAAGAATGACGTCCGTTTTCCACAGTCCAAGCACGTTATTTCCGCCTGTTGCTGCTTGCTATACCGCCGAGTGAGCAACTCATTTCAAGTAGTAACAGACAGTTGGGTATTGTGTTCCGCGTGACAACCAGATCTTGCCTGTCTGCCCGTAAGGCCAGTGCTTTGACTCTCATCAGTTACTACTTACTCTCCTCGTAAAATAGATAGATTTAATTTACTTATTTTGCGGGTGGTAATTTATTATTTGACCGCAGCCGTTTCTAGTGCTTCAAAAGCAAGCAGGGCTCCCTTCAAAACCAAAAGAAAAGAAAAGAAAATCAAGCAAAGGCAACGGGAGCCAGACTGTACTCGGTTCAGTAACCGCCAAATCAAGCAACACGGCGAGAAAGGAAGCTCCCAATGCACACAAGGACCTCACTGTCAATTACAACAAACCAAAGGTCCAAACGACAATTAGTTCCCGGAGAAAACAAATCATGAGCACGCCATGTCATGGCACATCATCATCATAATCTAATCACCAAATAAAACTAGTACTACTCCTCGGAGCAGCAGCACTGCAGCAGTGGTGGTATTAATTAATCGAACCCATCCCAGCGGAGAAGAAGAAAAGAAGAAGGCTCTCCTTCTCCTTTAAGCTTCGAATCATCCTTCCTTCCCCCCTCCCCCTCCCTCCCTCCCACTTCATCTCTCCGCGACGAAGCTTCCAAAACCCCCAAAAGGATCCCCCAATCTTCGCCTCTGCCTCCGGCCCGATCAAGCTCTCAGCAGCGGCTGCCGCGCGGCTCGGCCCGGGATCCATGGAGAGGTACGAGCTGCTCAAGGACATCGGCGCCGGCAACTTCGGCGTCGCGCGGCTGATGCGCAACAAGGAGACCAAGGAGCTCGTCGCCATGAAGTACATCCCACGGGGCCTCAAGGTGATTCGGGCTCCCCTGTGATTCATTCCGGCACGGGACGCCCCGGTCGAGTTTTCCTTACCCCGTCGCGATTTCCCCCCTGCTGCGAATTTAGTAACGGAGTATCTTTTTTGGGCGTTTCTTGGTGTTTGCAGATTGACGAGAATGTGGCGAGGGAGATCATAAACCACCGGTCGCTGCGGCACCCCAACATAATCCGATTCAAGGAGGTGGGCGAGGGAACGGGCAAGGCGCCGGGATCAATCCTTTCCGCCTTCTCTGCCCGGAGAAGAGTATAACGGATTGATTCTTTTGCAGGTGGTGGTCACGCCGACGCACCTGGCGATTGTGATGGAGTACGCGGCGGGCGGCGAGCTCTTCGACCGGATCTGCAACGCCGGGAGGTTCAGCGAGGACGAGGTGAGGATCGGTCCATTGCCCGAGTCCATTTTCGGCGCCGGTTCGTGTAACCGACGGTTGCTTTGTCCCCGCAGGCCAGGTACTTCTTCCAGCAGCTCATCTGCGGCGTGAGTTACTGCCACTTCATGGTAAGAGCAAGCAAACCGGTGCAATCGCTGATAAAAAAAAATCCTAGATCATCAGATGGTATAAAATGGTCGTTGATCTGCAGCAAATTTGCCACCGGGACCTGAAGCTGGAGAACACTCTGCTGGACGGCAGCCCGGCGCCCCGCCTCAAGATCTGCGACTTCGGTTATTCAAAGGTAATAAAAATAGTAACAAGAATTATAAAAGGAAGCATTTTCCGGGGGTCAAAGGCTGCACTTTGCTTGGCTTTGCGGCCGGAAAGATGGGAGGATTCATCTCGCCCTCCCGAAATGCAATTGGTTTCCTCTTCCTGCGCGAAACTGCTCGCGAAAGCAACGTCCCCTGCCATTGTTGACCCAAACAAGTTCGGCGCCACGCCAACGCCTTTTTTCCCGCTGCGGTGCACTGAACATGCTTCTTCCCTTTTCTTCCTTTTGCAGTCGTCGTTGCTGCACTCGAAGCCCAAGTCGACGGTCGGCACGCCGGCGTACATCGCCCCGGAGGTGCTCTCCCGCCGGGAATACGACGGCAAGGTCAGTCACTCAGTCTCTCTCCGCCGTTTTCTCTATTCTTCTGCCTCGTGACTCTGCGCATGGGCCCGCCGTGCGGTGGGTCCCGGAGGCAGTGGCGGTAGCGACCCACTTGTCCTGGCCCGTGAGCACGTGCCGCCTGCCGCTGCAGTACACGTACACGTAGCGTGACTCTCGCTTCTCGAGGCCGCCAACCAGTAGCCCTTGTGGCCTGGGTCCATGGGTGACACCACTCCATTCAGCGAGTGGGCCCGTGGGCTCATTCTGGCGTGGGTCTATAGGCTGGGTCCTTTGGGGCCAGCTATCTCTGACTCGTGGATTCGGAATTTGTCCCTAGTTACAGATCTGCCTGCCTGTTACCGGGCAGACGCGCGCACTCCCACTGGGCAGTGGGCCCAACGCCACGCTGGCTCTGAGATAGTGTCTCTCGCTTGGCTTGCTGCTGCTGCTGCTCCTGTGGCAGGTGATTAGATTCCCGGTTAAATGTGGACAGTCCTTGTCGTGGCACTCCTCCAAATTTATTTTTATTTTTGGAAGGCAGTGGATTTTGTTGAAAAACTCGGTAGAAAAAGCGAAAAGGTGAGAGATTATGCAAAGATATGTTGTTCTTTCTGTGTCTCATGACGTCGATTTGGACATTCACATTCTCATGATCGAAATTCACACATCATGCTCGATCGATGGCGATGCTCGCTCCAACCAGCGATGTCTGCTTTTGATGCACGCCATCCCAATGCGAAAAGAGGGGAGGAAAGGTTTAGGTTGATCGGATTCAGACCGGATTTAGTGGTCACGAGTTCTTTTTGTTTCTTCGCGAGAACATCAAGAGTTCGCGAGCTCGTGTGCGCCCTCTTGGTTTAATTTATTGTGGCCTTGGAGTAAAGTTAGATTTCCTGGAGAAAGCATGTGATTCTGTGGATACAGATATTAGAATTAGATACCCTATTTTTGCACTTGATACTAGGAAAGCTTTCCGTTTCGAAAAAAAAAATACTAGGAAAGCTTGGAGCTGGGGACCGGGGTAGGGTTGTTTGTAATTTCAGTTGCGAAATGCAACTTCAGTGGGTGAAGAGACGGGAGCGTGATTATGTCTATAGGAGCATGCGTCAAAAGGAGTGATTTTACATCACTAGGGAATTAAAATGCTCAGACGGAGATAGGTCAGTTCAATGCATGTTTATGACAAGCAAGCTCCATGAGGCAGACACACCCATAGGCACATCAGCTTGACAAATCATTTGGTTTTTGTTGGACGTGTCATTTTTTTAGGCTCACTTCATACTTTATGTCCTTGTCTAAAACATTTTACCATCATGGTCCTAGTGCTACAGATACAGATTAGCCTTTTTTTTGTGAAACGAACTGATTAGCTAATTGATGTTGTCACAAAGGTCCATCTGACCCAATCCTTTTCAAGTAGCCTTGTTAGACTGAACTTCTCGTTGGCGCTTTGTGGTCCTTTATAAATATTTCATTATCTATCTCTTTTTCTCTCGTTGTCCGATACTGCTATGATATCTTGTGAAGAATTTTCTGTACGACGGTTACTGTTTTTTTCTTCCCTCACTGTCCAACAAATCATATCAGACTGGTTACATCTTGGCCTTCCAGCGCTGCAAAATTAGTCGTGTTTGCTTGTCAAAGAGAAACAGCATGATGCGCTGGAGATCAGCATAGATATTCTATGGATAGCATAGCAACCAGTACTACTTTATTGTTCGTTTCTAGGCCAACCCTTTTAAGACTGCAAAGTGTCATTGATTTCCCTAAACATATGGCGTCCACTTTTTCTGCAATAAAATATGTGCATTTGTCTGCTTTCACATTAAATTATGCTGTTGTGTTTGTCTCGACCTACCTGATCTTCGGTTAGATTGTTTTGAAATTCGCTGATTGCCTTTGTGGAACCAAAGTTGCATCTAAATCATTTTGTTTGAAGCTCGTAAATATAATAGTTTTGTGTTACTTCCCAAAATAACAACTGCATATCATTTCTCGCAGGGAAAAGATTTAAGTTTAATGCTCCCTCCGTTCCTAAATATTTGTCTTTCTAGAGATTTCAACAAGTGACTACATACGAAGCAAAATGGATGAATGTACACTCTAAAATATGTCTATATACATCCGTATGTGCTAGTCCATTTGAAATCTCTAAAAAGACAAATATTTAGGAACGGAGGGAGTACAATTTTACAAACCTGTAAACACAGCTGAATTTTGAGCACTTGAAGCTTTATGTACTATTCCGCGTTTATGATTGTACATCTTAAATTGGTTATGTTCCAAATGTGCTTTCCTGCAAGCTGTTCTTGCCTTCTTGCCTTTCATTTATCTATATTTGTCTGTTAGTTTGTTATGTGTTCTAACATATTTGCATCTATTGATGGTTCAGACAGCCGATGTGTGGTCTTGTGGAGTGACCCTTTATGTGATGCTAGTCGGCGGTTACCCTTTTGAGGATCCTGATGACCCCAAGAACTTCAGAAAGACCATTGGGGTAGCAATTTCAAACCTTTTTTTGTGTGCTAAGCAGCGTAGAATTCAACTTTCTTATGGTTGGTCCATTTGTTCTTATCGCAGAGAATAATGTCAATCCAATACAAAATACCGGAGTATGTCCACGTATCCCAAGACTGCAAGCAACTCCTTGCCAGTATTTTTGTCGCAAACCCTGCAAAGGTACTTTCCGGATTAAACTCAGGTGAGCTCACTAGAGCGATTCATCGTCGGCTTATTATTTTCCCAACCATCATTTCAGAGAATAACAATGAGGGAGATCAGGAACCACCCTTGGTTCTTGAAGAACTTACCAAGAGAGCTCACGGAAGCTGCCCAAGCAATGTACTACAAGAGAGACAACAGCGCCCCGACCTACTCGGTCCAGTCCGTGGAGGAGATCATGAAGATCGTGGAGGAGGCGCAGAAACCGCCTCCTTCCACCACTCCGGTGGCGGGTTTCGGGTGGGCGGAGGAGGACGAGCAGGAGGATGGCAAGAAGCCAGAGGAGGAAGCGGAGGAGGAAGACGAAGAAGATGAGTATGAGAAGCAGTTGAATGAGGTCCGTGCCAGCGGCGAGTTCCACATCAGCTAGCTGATGGGGGTGCTTCACTGGCGTGAGAAGGCCACAGACCGGGGATAAAATTTGTCATATAGTTTGTAGTTTGTGTTTTGTTCTCGAGTTTTTCTCTTCATTCTCGTCTCCGGTTCTGCAACAGTGTAAATTACCAAAGTGGTTCCGTCGCTGTCTTTACAATGACTGATTAAGCTAGCATTGCGGAAACATAATGTATGGAATAAATCATCTTATTGAGCATGTTCTTGCACTTCTCTTTCATGTCCTGAAGATTACAGCTGCACCCTAAGTTGTTAATTAATCTGGTCTATTAAATCGGTGCTGGGACAATTAAAACATAATTGACTGCTCCTTGTTGATGTCCAAGTATCCAAGTACTACTTCTTAATCCTGATGTGCAACTGCTTCAGAGATGACCCTGCAGATGTCTGCAGATATTTCCAAATGCATCATGTGGTGCTTTCACTGCAGATATTTGCAGATGCACACATGTGCTTGTGCGGTTTTGCGATTGTGACGAAGAAACTTATTTCAGAAAGAAAGAAGTACATCGATCAAGAACAGATATCAACAACCAGATGAAAATGATGCCGTTATTAAACCACTGATCATTTTGTTAACTACTTCCTCCGTCCCAAAATAACTGTCTCAAGCTTAGTACAACTTTGTACTAGAGTCAGTACAAAATTGAGACTCTTATTTTGGGACGGAGGGAGTATAAAATTGCATGGACCAACAGTTCTCTCAGTAATCTGTTTAATATATGATCAACTTATCCCACAAATCATCGCAAACAATCTAATCCTACAAAAAGAAAGTTTCCACCAGTAAAATGAGTTTTTTCTTGTGTGGGTCATATTACCCTTCACTCTGACCATGGTATTCTCCAGCGGAAATAATAAGCAATACAAGCAAGAAAGATCCGAGGGGCTGATGTTAATGGCAAGAAATGCACATTTGCTGCCTTGCTGCGGAAAAACGTACGTGAATTAGCACGCTCTTAAAACAAGCATACAATAAGTATGGAAGACAACGATATGAGAGAAGGTTATTAAATTAAATCCTAGCTTAGGGCTTAGCCATACAGCACGCCCAATCATAAAATGGAATGTGAACCGCATCTCACAAAATAGTCGCAAGTCAAGATACCACACGCCCATGCCGTGCTGTAGCTAATTGAGCACTTTGTTTCCATTTTATCTCAACAACTAGTAGCCTACAAGCTGCTGTTGTCTAATCAGACGGAGAAAGTACCTACCTGCCTTGGAAAAATTGGAAGACGTCTGCAATTATAACTGTATGCCCATACGATCGACATTGATGGCGTTGTCAGTTAGGACGGGGAAAGTTTTTCCTCTGTCATAGTGCTCACCCAGAGAGTGTGCAGTTAGACCTCCATACCTACACTTGGCTAAAAGAATAAATTCCACATTTCACCCCCTAAGATTCGTGTGTGGTAATCTTTTTACCCCATTTAGCGGAAATTGCTCAAAAATACCCCCATTTAGGCAAGTTTCTTCCAGGTTTTACCATTTTTACCCGTCTCTGCCGGCAGGTTCGTACGTTTTAGAACAAAGACGTCAGGAGCGTCCGCCTTTAACTGGATAAATCCCACAACATGCATAGTGCACATAACGGACCGAACCAGTACGAAAAAAGGTTTTAGAAATCCAACCATAATTTACGGGGCAATCTGCCCCAACTGAGCACGTAGGCTCGAAAACATGCAAAAGGTGCAACTACCTTAATAAGCAACAGGAGGGGACCTACCGATGTTGTTGATATGTCGAACTCTGACCATCACCACCTGCAGGAAATCAGTGTCCCGCCGTCTCCCTAACGGAGCCGACTGCTGCAAAAATAGGGTACATTCGAAGATTTTGCCAGCTTGGTACGACGAGAATACACCCTCGATGGTAATCTTGTTACGAATGTGCCAAAGCGACCAAAGCAATGCCCCGACACATCGTCTCTGCATTACGCGTTTTCAAGAGCCATGCAATGAAGATACTTGTAGGATCGAAAGTAGGTTTAAAGGGGAGGGTGATTAGACTAATTGACCAATAAAAACCTAGCATTTTTTTTCCAATTTTTGTTCTCGACAGATTTTAACAATTCTAGCAAGTCTACTGGCACCCTATACATGCAAGTCTAATATAGTGGCAGCGGAAAGTAAAGACTTTGCACATGAAAGTAGAGAAAGGGTTTGGAGATAATCATACACAATGAAGACACGATGATTTTTGGTGTGGTTCCAATAGGTTATGCTATTGTACGTCCACATTGATGGAGATTTCAACCCATAAGGGGTAACGGTTGAGCGAGTCCACTGAGGACTCCACCCTCGAAGGGTCCATGAAGAAGCAACCTTGTCTATGCCATCATGACTTACTCCACAAAGGACTAGCCTCACTTGGGGTAGGCCTTCACGAAGTAGGCGATCTTCTTGCCCTTACAAACTCCTTGGTTCAACTCCACAAGCTTGGAGGCTCCCAAGTGACATAACCTAGGAGACACCACTCTCCAAAAGGTAATAGATATTATTACTGATTATGAACTCCTTGCTCTCATGCTTCAAAAGATAGTCTCATTGACACTCAAACACTCTCTCACAGATTTGGGCTATGTGGTAGGAGAGGGACTGGAGTGGAGAGCAACTTGGGGGGGGGGAGGGGGGCTAGAGATCAAGGAAGTAAAATCATCTTGATCTCAACACAAGGGTAGGTGGTTCTCTCTCAGAAAATGGATATGAGAAGTGGTAGCTTCGAACTAGTTGCTCTCTCTGAGAGTTAGTGGAATGGGTGGGGTTATATATAGGAACCACAAAAAATCCAACCATTACACACCTTTATGCACTACTTGATGGGACCGGATGAGAATGCTGGGTGAGACTAATTAGTACGAAAGGTCTGAACTTTAGGATTTTGGTGAGACCGGATGAAATCTCTCGGTGGGACCAAGATGAGATGACCTAAGCGCTTTCCGCACTTTGCAGTCACCGATTGAAACCATTCAAAAATTCTGAGATGTATGCAATTGGTAACAGAAGGTTGGCAAGTGCTCTTCGATGGGACTAAAGAGCCAACTCGATGAGACTGAGATGCTAGGGTTTAGGCAGTGGCTATGCCAAGTGTATCTTGGAGAGTTCGGCTAGATGAATATCGGTGGGACCAATATTGACTTTAGGGTGTTGGACATAGATGAATGTGAGAGTGCGACTGAGGATTTTGGAGCAATATCTCTAAGCACTTGAGCATCTAGGTCATGATCAAAACCTCATCCCCTTTTAATAGTATTGGCTTTCCTATGGACTCAGTGTGATCTTGGATCACTAAACCAAAAATTTGAAATTTCCTGAAATATTCTTTGAGTAGTCATTAGTTCAATGATGTATATGTTGTTATGAATTACCAAAACCACCTGGGATTAGTTGCACTTTCAATCTTCCCCTTTTTGGTAATTGATGAAAACATATAGATCAAAGCTTCAACATAAGATATAATCATGAATAACATCATTGCTTTGAGAAGTATGTGATAAGCAAGAGCTCCCCATAAATTTGTGCATTATTTAAAATTTGCGTTTGAATGCAAATGCACGGTCGAGGATCGTGCGGCAACTCTTTTATGCCACATACATCTTGGTGGAGCGCACAAAAGAATATGAATGGTATACAACAAGAACTCACCACCAAGACACACATGTGAATGACCATGTGCTACTCGTGAGCTATGTTGGGATATTCCCTGAAGAGGAAGGGTGAAGCAATATAGTAGCAGAGAAATATTTCCCTCAGTGAGAACCAAGGTTATCAAACCAATAGGAGAACCACACAAATCGTCCTAGCACCTACACACACAAAGCAAATACTTGCACCCAACGTGGGCAAGAGGGTTGTCAATCCCCTTGAACTCGTTACTTGCAAGGATTAAATCTGGTAGTGGTAGATAGATAAAAAGAAAAGTAAAATAAAAAGTATAAAATTGCATCAATATATTTTTGGTTTTAGTAATATGATTAAAGTAGACCCGGGGGCTTCTCTCTTGAAACAATAGCATATGATGGGTGAACAAACTACTGTTGGGCAATAATAGAAAAGCGCATAGTTATGATGTTATTCATGGCAATAATCACATATATAGGCATCACGTCCGTGATAAGTAGACTAACTCCTACCTGCATCTACTACTATTACTCCACTAATCAACCGCTATCCAGCATGCATCTATGGTATTAAGTTCATAACAAACAGAGTAACATTTTAAGCAAGATGATATGATGTAGACAAAGTAAACTCAAGCAATATGAATAAACCACATCATTTTATTCTTAATGGCAACAATACAAATACATCCTCGCTACCCCTTCTGTCACGAGGTGAGGAGACCGCAAGATTGAACCCATTACAAAGCACCTCTCCCGCTGAAGATAAATCAATCTAGTTGGCCAAACCAAATGAATAGATAGGAGAGAAATACAAAGCTATCATAATTGTGCATAATAAAGTTCGGAAAAGACTCGATTATTTTCAATGAATAATCTGATAATAAACCCACAATTCATCTGATCCCAGCAAACACACTGCAAGAGAAGACTACAACGGATAGAACTCCAAGAAGATCGAGGAGAACATTGTATTGAAGACCAAAGAGTGAGAAGAAGCCATCTAGCTACCAGCTGTGGACCTGTAGGTCTGTGGTGAACAACTCACACATCATAGGAAGGGCAGCAAGGTTAATGTAGAGTCCCTCCGTGATCGATTTCACCTCCAGCAAAGTACCTGGGAGGCCTCCAGATGGTATCGCGGTGTTGGGAAACATAGCATGCAATTTCAAAAAAATTACTACGCTCACGCAAGATCTATCTAGGAGATACATAGCAACGAGAGGGGGAGAGTGTGTCTACGTACCCTCGTAGACCGAAAGGGGAAGCGTTTGACAACGCGGTTGATGTACTCGAACTTCTTCTCGTTCCGACCGATCAAGCACCGAATGTACGGCACCTCCGAGTTCTGCACACGTTCAGTAAGGTGACGTCCCTCGAACTCTTGATCCAGCAAAGTGTCGAGGAAGTAGATGAGTTCCGTCAGCATGACAGCATGGTGACAGTGATGGTGAAGTGATCCGCGCAGGGCTTCGCCTAAGCACCGCGATAATATGACTGAGGGTGTAATCTATGGAGGGGGGGCTCCGCACACGGCTAACAGCTGTTGTTGTGTGTTCTAGGTGCCCCCTCCCCACGTTATATAGGTGGGAGGGGGAGGGAAACAGCCTTGGGGCGCCCCAAGTAGGAGGAATCCTACTTGGGGGCCTAGATCAATTTGCCCCCCCTAACCATATTTTTCGGAGGGGGGAGGAAGGAGGAGAGAGGAGGGAAGGAAGGGGGAGGCCGAATCCCTCCCCTTCCTTCTCTCTTCCCCTCTTTCCTTCCTCCTATGGTTCGGCCCATATGGGGGGTGCAATAGCCCCTGCTGGCTACTACGTTTTCCCTCTTGGCCCAATAGGCCCATAACTTTGCCGGGGGGTGCCCGGAACCCCTTCCGGTGACTCGATATGTACAGGGTACCCTCCGAAACACTTTTT